TGTTTATGTGATTCTAAATACCATTCTCAGCTCACAAGAGCGAAATTAGCTGTGGCAAGCAGCTCAAAAAGAAGCTGATCACAGACATAAGGTAAACACCGCTGATAATGACCCTGAGCCTAAAGCTGTGCCAGAGCAGAACAAGCATACTAACTATAACAAACTTTTAAAACAGGTCCAGGAGGCTAATAAAAACCCAGCTGTGTTCCTAAATCAGCTTTCTAATCCTCACACCCCGTGAGCAGTTCCAGCTTCACGCGCTGCGTGGGGCCGCCTCCCAGCCCTTCCCCCATGCCCCTCCCAGCCCTTCCCTCCCCCATGCATCATCGTCGCCGCTGCCTTACACGTTTCCAGGGACAGTCCCAGCCCGCCCCTGTGCACTACGTCCCGACGCTCGCCCCACCCCCACCCTGGGCATGCTTTGCTGGTGCACCGTGAAATAGCAGCTCAGTGGCTCTGCCCAGACATGCTTTTTTTTACAATTCGGCTCTGCTCAAAAGATGCTATTTTTTTTATTACAATTCTCAAACCATTTAATCAAGGTTATTGGCCACCTGATAATTTTACCAGCTTTGTTTATCAACCAAAGCCTTCACCAATCTCCTGTTTAACAACTAAGGTTATAAATTCCTTTTTGCTGGAAACCACTAACTCTGTTCCAAGACAATGGTTTTGTTAAAATTTTATTTGTCTTGGTTCATACTACTGCAAATACCAGGTTTAAAAAAAGTAAATGTGTTCAAAATTTGACAGTATTAGATGTTTTCATAGATTTATTCATAAGATTGGTAAACTTTACTGCTAAATGTTTCCATTAAAATGAGATTATACTCCAAAAGAGAGAGGGCAGACTGAAGCCTTTTTGGGCAGACTAAAGCCTTTTTTTTTGTTAATCCCATGTGTCACCCCATAAAAAAGCAATATGCCATCCAGATAAAGCCTACTCTCTGATCTCAAATGCCAATATTAAACTCCTACATAGTTACTTAATTCTACTGTAGTCCAAATCGCAAACAAAAGGCAAAACTTGACCTTCAAACCTTAGAGAGATCTTAATATGATTTTTCATATTTTAACACTTTTGACACTTGGAGTTCTGAGGCAGGTAAACCTACACAAAGTGGAGCTGCCTGCTCCCCCCCCCCCATGGACCACACTCAAATGCAGCAGAAGACACTGGGCAAGAGAGTGCCCCATCCTGGCGTTCTTTGAGACCTTACTCCAGGACTACTGGACTGTCCTAGCCACCAGAGAGTGGGTAAGCCATCCTAACTTCTAGCCCTGACAGGAAATGTTGACACTGCCAGATTCATTGCTGAAAAAAAAAAACAGCCCCCTTTAAAGTGTCCATCTCAGAGTCCAAGTCGCACTGAAGTCTCAGGTAAGACAATTTTCTATATTTGTGGACACAGAGGCCATATATACAGAGTTCTTCCTGAGTTTTCAGGCTGCTATATTAAGTCCTCAATCTCTATGATGGGGTATTGATGGTCAACCTATGCCATTTACAAACAGGGCCTATTTCATACAGATCCCAGTCCTAAATATGCAGGCTCACTTAGACACACTGAGGCCTCGGCAGCTTCCACCTGTTGTCGCTGGTGGACCTCTCCTCAGTGATATAAGACCACCCCCTTCCTTTCTTATTCACCAATTTGCCAGACAACCCTGGTCAAGACTGACAGATACATTTTGTCTTCTCACTTTGTTTATACTTTTTCAGGATACATAAAAGCCTTTCTCACAACCAGGTAAACTGCTGATACAACCAGGTTGCAGTGACTCATGCCTAAATCAAAGTTGCTAGACTCTTATCCTGGTTTCACATCCCTCAGGCTAAGAGGTGCCCTTCCAGCCCTAAATCTGATCATTCTGAGTGGTCATCTCATCTTCTGTTGCTCACCCATCTCCACTTCATGAAGGCCTCGCAGCCACAGTTAACAGGCTAAGTCATGTTTTGTTATCCACTTTGGTTCCTAATTTCTTATGTTCTATTAATGATCATTTTTACAGCGGGACTCTTGACAGTCTTTCCCAAAGACTCCCACATCATGCGTAAGATAATCTTCATGATGTTTTATATGATAACAGTTGCAGTTCTTTCTACCCTCTGCTGTCTGGTTAACGGTGACATCCCTGAAAGCCTAAGCCCTGACCTTCCCTATACTGGTACAGCCACCGCCTTCCCTGCTCCCCCTATTTTTTCCAGTTCAACTCCTGGACCAGAGACAAGTTTTACACACCCACCCTCTTAACTTTTATACTTTCAGATGGGGGAGTAGTCACCTCTCATAACTTCACTCCTTCTAACCTCACAGTTAATTTTCAGAATTCTACCTCACTGTGACAATGTTCCTACCTCAACGTCGTCCTGATAGAATGACATGTCTAAACTAAAGGCACCTTTCCCTCTACCTCACCTGGGTCCTTAAATATGACAGTGCCATGTCTCCTCATAACATCTTGTCTCTTTGTTTTTCCAGTCTAACATATGTGCATTCACCAGTGAAGTTGTCCTGGCTAAAACATCTGACACCAGCTTCTACCTAGACATCAACCGTCATCCCGTCGACTCCCCTAGGCTCCAGTACAGCACCCTCTGCCAGCAGGAAATAGTTAAAGAGAGAAATCTTTGCCCCTTTTCATAATAATAATCATACGACGAGATATGAAAGGGTTTTGGCCCAGACAGGACACTGTAGCCTCAACCAGCAGCAGGAAGCCCCTATCTCCCCTGCCCCTAGGAACTTATCTGTGATGCCATCTTCCCGCCCATGGAAATTTACCTATGGCGCCAAACCTAGGACCAATGGGCTACCGGTGCATCCCTGATGCCCCCTTAGATTCCACCCCAAACCAAGGCTACTTACATACCCCCCACCCCACGTGTCCACCAGAGAGATTGACGGACTCCAGCGGTGGGGGGTGCCAGTCATCTCTCTTCATGTTCTCAGAATAAAGGCCTCTTTTTGTTTTATACTTCTCATCTTTTGGAAATATTTTTCATATTTTGGAAATAATCCTATCAGAGGGGAGAACAGGTAGCAAGATTGACAACTGGTACTCTATTCTAGGAACCCAGTAAATGCGTGGGATTTCAAGTAATCTGAGGTATACCTGTGGATTCTCACATGGATTGGCTCATTATGTCATTTTTTCTGCATAACCAGATAGAATTTTTCATGGTGAAGACTTGACCTAGTCCTAGTTTGTCCTGCAATGGAAGTAAATATGGTATCTTTTTTGTTTGTTTATTTGTTTGTTGTCTTTTTCCTTTTTATCGGTACCAGGGATCGAACGCACGACTGCACACTTGCAAGGCAGGGACTTATGCCGCTGAGCTAAACCCCCAGCCCCTGTTTTTGTTTTTTAAATATATTTTAAAGCAACTGAAGAAGTCACTTTATGAAACATTACAGAGCTGTATATGGGATCTCACATTCTCTCCTAGCTTTTGCGTTTCTTCATAGTCATCAATCACAGAGTGTATCCCTTTGCTTTTGCAGTGTTGATTTTTTTAGAGATATATGTTGCCACCAATTTACCGAAGTATAATTAATCTGTCCAAATTAAAATAGTCTTCAAAAAATGATCACAGTTTATAGGGAAACATGCAACTGACAGTTGTGGATGTATGACACACCCTGTGCTAGTATTTATTTTCTCTTGAGGTTTCTGAGTTTTAGCCCATTTCCTGGCCCTTCTGTCAAACTCGTAGGAACACTATGAGTCTTTCTACAGCAGCCACTCAGGGTTTTCACAACCTGCAGTATTGAATGTTGACTATGATGTGTAATTAGGAGTACAAAGGTGGTGGTAGGACTCTTCCTGGGATCTCACTGAGACTGAAAATGATAAGAGAAGATTTCATTCAGGAAAAGTTTGCTCTTTTTGGCCAGGAGTCAATGACAATCTCTATCTATCTATCTATCTATCTATCTATCTATCTATTATCTATCTATCTATCTATCTATCTATCTATCTATATTCTTTAAACGTTTTTTAAGGCAGAGTCTCTCTATGTAATTCAGGCTGGCCTTGGGCTCACTTTGTAGCCCAGTCTGGTCTCGAACTTGCAGTAATCTTCCTGCCTCAGTCTCCTGAGTAATGGGATTACAGGAGTGCGCCACTATACCTGGCTACAACCTCATAACATATACAGGTATTCTCTTTTATCCTCTCTCCTCCTATCCCTAGTGGGGATCAAATCCTACTCTACCACCTCCCTTTCTGTACATTTTTATTTTCAGAGAGGGTCTGACTAAATTGTCCAATCTGGCATGGAATTTGTAGTTTTCCTGCCTCAGCCACCTGAGTACTGGGAAAACAGGCAAGTGCCACTGTGCATTTTAAAATTTTATCCTCATTTTACAGACAAAGAAATGAGGCACAGAGAGAGGTAAAAATACTTCACTTAGGAAGTGGCTGAACTGGTACTAAAAATCAGATTTTATGAAACCAAATGCGTCCTGCTTAATAGAGCGCCTAGTGCTTTTTAAGATTTCAGCAAAATTACAAAGTATTTGTGGAGAGAACCACAATATCTTTTGACATCAGTTTAGGTGTTTGATAAAGTTATTGGGAGAAACAAGAGCAATTTTTTTTTTTTTTTTTTTTTTTTTGAGACAAGAGCTCATTATGTAGCACAGGCCGGCCTCAAACTCGCTGCAATCCTCCTGTCTCAGCCTCCTAGATGCTGGGATTACAGGGGTTTGCCACCAAGCCGGGTTGATTTTTTCCCCCCCTAAATTTCAGATTTCCAACCAATCAATTCTTTGCCTTTAACGGCTTTATGAAAGACTACGATTCCCAGCATGCCTTGAGGCATTCCTGGGACGACTTCGATTCCCAGCATGCCCTGCTCAACGCTTTTCCTTGGGCCCAGAGTTCTGTCGAGACTACAGTTCCCAGCATGCAGCGCCCTCGCCCCTTGTCGCTGGCGCCCCGCTGGACCCTGTTTCGGAGGGAACTTTTAGATACGAGAGGACGGTTTCTGGAGTCTCAGCCCGATTTGTGGGGCATGAATATGCGGCAATTCCGGCTGGCCGAGCCTGTCCAGATAAAACCCAGAAGGGACAGTTTGTGGCCTGCCGCGCGCTGTGCTCAGGCAGCGTTTCAGGCAGCCCCAAAGGGGTCCTCCTGGGGCCTTTCTGCCTTTGAACCACGGTGGCGGGCGGGCACACTGCCTTCGGCACGCCTGGGACCAGGCCCCGCCATTCCCATGGCCCCCACTACAAGTGGCCCCGGAGCCGGCGGGTCGCGGGACATCCTGTGGCACGTGAGTGAAGCGCTTGGTGGCTCTCGCTCCTAGGCTCGGGTAGGGCGGATGGGCTCTACGTGCGCGTCCGCGCTGAGCGGGAACGTGGACTTGGCTGAGAATAGCGTGTGGAAGGGCCCGCAGAGCACTCATTTGGAGCCTGTGGCGGGGTCCTCAGTAGGTGCTGGGTGGGAGATGGGAGGGGAGTCCAAAGTGTAAACTGGCCCGCGTGGAGGGTATGACCTGAGTGGAAACTAGGGCAGAGGCTGGGGATGGGATCAAGCAAGGATGATCTATCCAGTAGGTGCAAGAGTGAATAGTTGATTCCCTGAGTTAGGCAGTTGGAAGGAATATCCAGAACTTAGCAGAGGCTGGGGTAAAGACCAGGTAGTCCACGCGGATATTATTGCCAAGTTCAGGAGTGGGCAGAAAGAAATAGGAGAAAGAATCTTTTTAGAACAGATAGTGCTTCTACGCAAGTGTACTGACATTCCTATCCTAAACGAAAAATCTTTAGGGTCTTATCTACGCTTTAATGCTCAGTCGTCAATCACAAACTCCCGTAGATTCTACCTCAGAAATGAAACTGCATTTTGGGTTTTTTCCTTTCCCAATGTTGCTGTCTTTGTTTCGACGTTAACTGTAATCTCTGGCCTGGGCTGTTACGGGCCTCTGACTCCTTAACCTCTGCGTCTCTTGTCTAGATCTGGCGACCTCTGATCTGTTTTTTGTTTTTTTTTTGTTTTTTTTTTTTTTTTTTTTTGAGCCACTTTACAGTAAACAAGCATAGTTCACCTTGTAGAATGTACATCCAGTTGTGATTTTCATGTTTTAAGTCCCTCATTGCCTCTTGTATTTATGTAGTCAACAGTACATCTTAGACCTCTTGTAGGTACTGGTGATTTAGACAGGAGTACTGCAGTATGGTAGTTGCCCATTAAGAACGCACTTATCCTGGTAATCTTAGAGTGCATGTAGACTTTAGGTATTCATACAGCTATCAAACCTAGAAAGACTAGTATTACTTGTGATAAAATGTGGTTACAACACTACAAAAGAGGGCTGCAGTTGTAGAATACTTGTCTGACATGCTCAAGGTCCTGGGTACAGTCCTCAGTACCGCAAAAAATAAGTAAACCTAAGATTATCTCAATCCCTCCCAGTGCAGAGTTGATACTTGATATTGTACCTGGCTCTGGACATAATGCAAGCTGTGGTTCACGAATAGGCGACAAAGTACTATAGTGGTTTATAATGTTATTAATAGTAGTCATGATAGGGGCTGGGGATTTAGCTCAGCGGCATAAGCACCTGCCTTGCAAGCAGGCAGTAGTGAGTTCGATCCCTGGTACCGATAAAAAGTTAAAAAAAAAAATAGTAGTCATGATATAAGTATTATGATTAACATTAACAGCCTGTGCGAAGAGAGGATTTACATGAACAAATGATGAAATTTAACTGACTTCATGCTTGAGGGGTTTTGTTTGTTTCATTTTAGGTTTTGGGTTGGAGGATAGTTGCAAGTATTGTTTGGTCTGTGGTGCTTCTACCTATATGTACAACAGTATTTATAGTCTTCAGCAGCATTGATTTATTTCATCCTGTACAGTGGCTGTCCGGTAAGTGATACTCAGTTTGGGGAAAGCAAATTTATAAGACCTACTTCTCAACCTAATTGTATTATGTTTCAAATGATTTATTTTTAAACTGATACTGATATAGAAAAATATTCACTTGAAATAAGTTTAAGGCACTGCCTAACACAAACTACCATTTTATTGTGAAATAGATTATTAAGTCTATCAGAGACTATCAGAGATAAGAGATCATTAGATGACCACATAAAGGAAAGCTTAATTTTTGTTTCTTTTGATAGTTTTTTGTTTTTGTCTTTTTGAGACACGGTCTCGCTATGCAGTTTAGGCTGGCCTTGAGCTCACTTTGTAGCCTAGACTGGTCTTGAACTTACAAGGATCCTCCTGCCTCAGCCTCCTGGGTGCTGGGATTACAGGCATGAGCCACCATGCCCAGCCTCTTTTGATAGTTTTATTGATGTTGTTTCTCTTTAAAAAAGAATTGTCCATGTCATCTATTTAAAAGAGCAGATAGAGGGCTAGGGTATAACTTAAAAGAAGAACATTTGCCTAGTATGTACAAGGCCTTGGATTTGATCCATAGCACTGCAAAATAAATAAATACAAATAAAATTGTGTCTTGTCTTTAAAAATATGTCTAAGAATATTTCATTTCTACATTATAGCTAATAAAAAAAGGTAAGGGAGGAAAGTGGTTAGAGAAGATAAAGTGATAGTGCAAAACTTGATGAATTAACTGAAGCAAGCTAAAATGTTTATCTTTGAAGCTAATATTACTAAGTTTGTTAGAATATAGCTATTCATGTCTGTTAATAATAATTACTAAGCTGGGCAGTGGCTCATGCCTGTAATCCCAGTACTGGGGAGGCTGAGGCAGGAGAATCTTTTTGAGATAAATGTTGCAAAAAGAGGTTTTGAAATCATTTCAAGTCTTTTTTTGGGGGGGCATGGTTTGAGACAGAGTCTCACTATGTAGTCCAGGCTGGCCTCAAACTCACAGTGATCCTCCTACTTCAAACTTCTGAGTGCTGGAATTACAAGCATGTGCCTCTGTACCTGGCTCAAGTCTTGACTAGGGCTAAAAAACATAAATGCTTTTGAAATCTTCCCTTACCCCAACAATGACAATAAATTTCTCTTTCGTTTTTGTGTGTTTAATTTCATTTTTCATAAGAAATACCAATTTTCAAGGAGCTGGAGTAGCAAAGGGTTTGCTGATAAGGTATTAAAGTCATAGTAAGTTTTTTATTTATATATGAGTCAGGTTTTGGCTAAGTCATACAGGTCAGATAAAATTCAGCCACAAGTTTGTGTAGAGATAATAAATATTTAATTGTGGGGGCCAGAAAGTCATTTTTATTAACTTTCAGTCATTGAACTATGCTTTTAAAGATAATTGGTTGAAACCAGGTGAGGTTAGCTAATGCTTATAATCTTGATTCAGGAAGATCACTGTGAGTTGGAAGACAGCCTGGGCTACACATTGAGTTCAAGACCATCCTGTACCACCAAGTGAGACCCTGTCTCAAAAAAAAAAAAAAAAAAAAAGTTTTGTTAAGTCTTAGTCTGTTCAGCGAACATGTATTTTTTCTTACTCGTAGCTCAGGCATAATATATTAATATTTTAATCTTGTTGCACTACTCTGAAATGTAAACATACTAAAATTTCACAGAGACATCACAATTTTTTGTTTTGTAGTTTGGCTCATATAGATGGTTGATGAATTAAGCTGTTTAGGTTGATGAATTAAGTGGTTTACAAAGATAATAGTTTGACTTCAGCAGTAGGAGCAAGTACCAGGGATCCACATTACGACCTCACACTTGCCAGGTAGGCACTGATGCTGCTGAGCTAAATCCCTGGCCAGAGAAAGTATGTATGTATGTATGTATATATATATATATATATATATATATATTTTTTTTTTTTTTTTGTCTTTTTCTTTTTTATCGGTACCGGGGATCGAACTCATGACTGCCTGCTTGCAAGGCAGGCGCTTATGCCACTGAGCTAAATCCCCGGCCCCGAGAAAGTATATTTTAAAGAAGACATCTGAAAAACACTGTTCACTTTTCTTTGGGGGAGGGGCATCGTTTTGAGATAGGGTTTTGCTATGCAGTTTGGCTGGCCTTGGGTTCATTATGTAGCTCAGATTGGCCTTAAACCCCCAGCAGTCCTACCTCAATCTGGTTGCTGGGGTTAGAGGTATGTGCCACCACATCTGGCTATACTGTTCACATTTTAAAAGAAAACTTTGTCGGTATATTTCTGTGTCACATAATGAAATTTTCATATAGGGTAATGAAGGGTTCATATAGGGTTCATATAGGGTCTGATGTTAACATTTGGTTCATTTAAAATAAATTCTAGTATAATTTTAAAGTGTCCCTAGCCAAATCCAAATAATTCACACTGGTGAGATGTCCATTTGGATCTGTAAGCATTGTATAATTAAATTCTTAAGAGAAAGGTAAGTTTCAAAGTTAAAATCATAGTTGTGATTCAGTGTTTCTATGTTGCAGTGTCCTAAACATGATCACAAACCTGAGTAAACCTTACTTCACCTTTTTGTATTTTAGATTCTTTCAATGACCTATACAGTTCCTATGTAATCATTTACCTTCTGATGCTGTCAGTGGTAATAATAATAATAAGTGTTTTCAATGTCGAGTTTTATGCAGGTGAGTTTCAAATGTGAGCCTTTTTAAAATCCTTAATTTATTTTACTAAGGGTAGACTCGGAGCATTTCACATATGGATCTGTGTAATAGGCTGAGCTCTGTGTTAGGATTTTGTTTGTTTGTTTGTTTGTTTATTTTTCTGAAGCAGGATCTCACTAGGTAGTGCAGGCTGGCCTTGAACTTGCTTATGTGAACTCACAGGGCTGTCCTGCCTCAGCCTCCTGAGTGCTGGGGTTACAGGTGTGCACCACTAAGCACAGCTCAAGAACTTACCTTTTTAAATGATTTACTCTATTATGATGCTTAGGAGAGTGCCAGGGTTGGCATTATTTCAGCTATTAGGTTTTTAAAAAATATATTAACATCTCTTCTCCAGCTTTCTTCTCTGTATTGACCTTTTTTTGCTACCACAGATTGAACTCATGACCTTGCTCTTGCCAGGCAAGCACTTAACTTATTTAATGTGTGCATCTTTTCATTCTTTCTCTCTCTCTTTTTTTTTTTCATCTTTTTGAGATGAGGTCTCACTGTGTAGCCTAGGCTGGCCTCAAACTCAATATACTCCTCGTGCTTCAGTCTCCTGAGTGCTGGAGACACAGACATGTACCACCACACCCAGTGTCAGGGTTTGTTTAGTTTAGTTGTTCTGTAGTGTGTTTTGTGTTGATTGTGGATTTCTTTCTGTCCCTGCAGTGTTTGTGGAGGGATGAGAGGGAATAATTGAGATCCTCTGACTTCATATGCTGCAAGCACAGTAACGCGTTTTCTTTGCAGTGGTGCCCTCCATCCCCTGCTCCAGGCTGGCGCTGATAGGGAAGATCTTGCACCCGCAGCAGCTCCTGCACTCGTTCATTCATGCTGCCATGGGGATGATGATGGCCTGGTGTGCAGCGGTGATGACCAAGGGCCAATACAGTTTCCTGGTGGTGCCTTGCACAAATTCAGACAGGTAACATAAATGTGCTTTTTCTAACTAGACTGGTTCAGTTACTGAGCAAAAGGTTAGCTAAAGAAGTTAAAACTTCGTGGACATTCTTTGCTTTCCAGACTTCTATCAAAGGTGCTTATTTGTATACATCAAATTTGTTTTTGTGGTTGTTAGTGGTTTTTTTCTTTTTTGGAAACAGGATCTCACTGTGAATATCAGGCTGGCCTTAAACTTACTTCATAGCTCATCCTGACCCCAAACTTGTGGTAATCCTCCTGCCTCAGCCTGCCCAGTGCTGAGATTACAAGCGTGTGCCATCACACCCAGCTCTTCTGAATACTTGATTTCTTTTTCATCCTCAGCTATTTTAAGAGGCACAGTTGTTTTCCTCCCTTACAGGATAAGTTTCTTTAGTGCAAAGTATCCTGTTGATAAACATGAAATGGTGAAGGACATCTGAGAATACAGGACCCTTGTGAATAAGGGAATCCCAATTGCAGCCCGGATGAGTCTTTAGTTCTTTTTGCAGGTCTCTCCGGCAGAAATGACAGTGAAATTCCAGCAAGCAGAAGGCAGCAATAAGCTACAAGTTGTTGAGAAGAGTAATGCTTGTTATAAATAATTTACCGCTGATTGCAGTGTCAGCGTCCTTAGTGAGACTAATCTCTTTCATCATCCTGTACCTCAGGGTCCAAAAACAGTCATCTTGCGGAGATAGATGTCAGGGCCTCTACTCTACTTTTTCATGAAAAGTTGGTTCCTGCTGAATCATGAGTTACTTCTCTACACCCTCAAAGGTTTGCTGGAGGTAGAGATTCCTAGGAGTGTAAGAACTTGACGACACTCAAAAATGGAAGGATATAAGAAGGTGGTGAAAGGGTAGTGGGCTAGCCCACCAGGAAATCCCACGGATTTAACTAAATATTCAGAACTTAATGACTCTAGATTGTCAGCTGGGAAACAATAGGACTTCCTCTTCAGCAGGAGTGCTGGATTCAGTCCCAGCAGACCCCACACCATTTGGAAGCCCTTTCCTTGACTGTGAGACAGTTCAGGTACAAATGTGGGGCTTCTACATCACACAAGTGTGGGGCTTCCTGCCTGAGGCTTTGTGCCCTGAAGAGTTTGGTATCTAATACTTTTTTTTTTTTTTTTATCGGTACCAGGGATCGAACTCACGACCACCTGCTTGCAAGGCAGGTGCTTATGCCGCTGAGCTAAATCCCTAGCCCTGAGTATGGCATCTTGTAGCAGCTTTGTAGGCTCAGCATCCTGAGGCCCTGAGTGCAATGTCAGGTTCTAAGAGACATCATGGAGAGAAGCCATGGCATATCTTTGGTATATATATTTTGTTTATAGCTCCTCTCATACCAGATGTGGTTTACCAAATTAGAAGTGACTTTATCTAATTGCATTGTAGACATTCTTACACATGTCAGGTTTCCAGGGCAATAGAGTTAGTCAGATTATCATGGTTTAGGAAAAAGAGACTTGTTACATCTTTTGCTCACGCTTAGCAAAAATGAACTATTTTGTTAGAATTTGGGCATTAGTGATAAACTGAGAACTTTGCTTTCAGTAAATTTTTATTTTATTTTACTTTTGGTCTGCAGTAAATAGCCTAAAATAATGATCTGTGTCCCTGACAGTTGAATTAATAACTTTTCTTGTTCAGCTTAGATAGGCCTGCTGCACAGACCTGCTTAAACGAATATCATCTTTTTTTCCTACTGGCTGGAGCGTTCGTGGGCTATAGCTATAGTCTTCTGTATTTTGTTAACAACATGAACTACCTGCAGTTTCCCATCATACAGGTAAGATCATTCAAGCATTACTGATACCAGAATTTGACAGCATTAAAATTTCTTTGGTGTTTATGTACGTAGCAGTCCTCACATGGTTATTTCAAGATTTAAGCAACAAGACCTAACACAGAAATCCTCAAAATTCATAAACTTTAGCATATTTTTGAGAGCTAACTACCTCTCTTTTTGCCACTCTTAGCACTGCTTTGTTCCACCTCCCTGCTCGGTGGTGGCACCTGCTGTGACCTAGCAAGGCTGAGGAGGAGAAGGAGGAGAATGACATTCATGCAGAGTGCCTTTGTGCGCTTGCCGCTTCCTTTGAACATGAGAATCTCATGAGCTTGAGCCTGTCAGTAGTTTTAGAATATGTCAGGTACTGTCACATCCTTTTCAGAACAAGACAAAATATAGAAATAAGTAAAACAGTTTCACCTGGTTTCAGTGGTGTAGGATAAACTATCTTTCAGTTGGTTTTAAACAACTAATCTGGTAGGAGTTGTCCCTGGAACTTGGAACTCACCTACTCTGACAGGAGAAAGGACAGTTGGTTGAGATATCTTAGTATCACATGCGGGATCCTCCCAGCTTGTTTCTAATGATACCATTTGTAATCCACTTCATTCTTGCTGTCGCAGACTGAGGACTGTCAGTGGATTAAAAATGATGGAACCAGCCCCTTTCTGGGAGAACCCACCCTGCTGGGAACAAGGGATGTGTGAAAATAATAATCTTACAATGAAAACGTAACCTGTGAGAAAGGTGTGTTTGGGTTCTGGTTTAACTAAAATTGTCACATTCCCTTGGCATCCTTGAGAACAGTCTGATAAAAATACTCATTCTGGGGCCAGGGATTTAGCTCAGTGGCATAAGCGCCTGCCTGGCAAGCGAGGTCATGAGTTCAATTCCCAGTACCAGGAAAAAAAAATACTCATTCTGCAGAAATAGTGCTTACTGAGAAAAATCTGGTTTTTACCTTTCTACAGTCTGTGGATGCATGAAAAAAGGACTCATCTAAGTTTCATAGCTTTCTTACAAGCTGTGAAGCCCTTCATCGCTTGCAAAGATAAATTAAAAAGTGAGATGTTAATTTTGCCATCTCAGAGTTTCACAGGGAGAAAAACCATGGTAATAAACTTAGTGCCTAGCATAATAAAGAATATAGGCAGTGAGGGAAAGAGAAAAATAAGATGCCTCAGATTCTGGGCCGCGGCTGGAAGTGACCAGCTGTTTAACGTTACAGATGCGCAGTGTAGGACTAATCTAGTGTAAGGAATAATGTGGTAGTTGACAATGCACATAAATTATTGTCTCTACCACAGTGCCAAAATTTGTAAAGTTTAGTACCAGAATTTGTTTTGTGATTATTCTTGATAGAATTCTGGATTGCTTTTCATGAGAGCTGAGGTGACAGGGTCTTGCTGTGCAGTTCAGGCTGTGTAGCCCAGGCAGACCTTGCACTGGCACTGATCTTCCTGCCTCATCCTTCTGAGGGCTGGGATTACGGGCATGTATCACCACACTCTACTGAATTTTTTCTTTCTTTCTTTCTTTCTTTCTTTCTTTCTTTCTTTCTTTCTTTCTTTCTTTTTTGTCTTTTTGAGACAGGGTTTTACTTGAACTTACTTTGTAGCCTGCACTAGCCTTGCGTTTGCATTGACCCTCCTGCCTCAGCCTTCTGAGTGGTGGGATTGCAAGTATGTACTACCACAGCCAGCAATGCTGAAGTTTTTATTGTATTCTAAGTTTCTATTTTATGATGGTAATGTTAAGCTTTGGCTTCAGGTTTGATTTTGGCAGAACACTGATTTTTAACATTTGGCCATGATATATAATTGGGGCGTCTCTTGCACTATGAGTACATAATGGCATTTTTCTGCTCAGTTGATTGGTGGTGTTCTCCTGCCTGAAGATGTTTGGAGCAGAGGTTTTGTTAACAGTGTAGTAAAGGATGGTAGAGTAGGGCTGGTGAGCATTTAGCAGTACTTGTTTTTTTTTTTTTTTTTTTTTTTTTTTTTTTTTAAGGCTAGTCAAGTGAAGCAGTGGGAGTGGAGAAGGAACAAAGAAATCTGTAACTGGTTGTGATCAATTAGTTGTAAACACCACTGCACTCGGACCAGCCAGCAGTACTTGTTAAAATGATTATTTTGGGACCCAGGCTTGTATCTTTACTTGCCTAGGAGACTAGGTTTACCTCTCCAGCAGATGGGTGGGGATATGGAGGGCACTATAGCTACATAGCCATGGGGGTGCTGTTGAAGTTGCTAAGCAACTGGATGAATTATTAAGAAAGTACAGGCTGGGGGCTGGGGATTTAGCTCAGTGGCATAAGCACCTGCCTTGCAAGCAGGCCATCGTGAGTTCGATCCCCGGTACTGGTAAAAAGATTAAAAAAAAAAAAAGTACAGGTTGGATATGAGAGGTCAGGTCTCCCTGATGAGCCTCTGTAGAGAGATGTGATGGCTGTGGCTGTTTACTTTTTTCTTTTTTGTTTTTGATTTTTGAGACAGGATCATCATGTAGTCCAGGCTGGTCTTGACCTTGTGGTGATTTTCCTGCCTCAGCCTCCCAAGAATTGTTTTTTCTTTTTGAGACAGATTCTTGCCTCCTGAGTGCTGGGATTACAGTTACATGCCCTGCCCATTCACTTTTTTTTTTTTCCTTGGTACCAAAGATTGAACTTGACTTTGTGTTTGCCAGGGGAATGCTTATGCCACTGAGCTAGATCTCCAGCCCCTATTTACTTTTTTTAACAACCAAGCTTACTAAGAAAATGTAAGGTTCTAAAAAATGTGTGTGTGTGTGTGTGTGTGTGTGTGTGTGTGTGTGTGTTTTAAACAGTAACAAACATCACTGTCATTGTTTTTGGTGCTGTCAATCTTCATCTCAAGAATATAGTGATAACATTATGAAGTATTCAAATTACATAAATAGCTTTTTATTACATGTATTATGTAGTAATTACCTTTTTATGTAACCTGTAAAAAATTAGATCTTTTAAAAATTTCTGATTTTAACCAATTTGCCTTTAAGCCTATTAGGTGTTTTGCTTTAAAATTGTTTATACTGTTAAAATCAGTTCCATTGCCCTTCCCAAATTCTTAATGATTGACTGATAGGGAAACAATGTTTGTATGGAGTAAAATGACAAAAATAAGACAGAACTTGGCAAATCAGAATTCTAGGCCAATGACTGTTGAAAATATTAAATGAGAGATGTTAGCCTACTGCCTGCTGCAAAACAAATAGTAAAGCATAGCTTATAGCTAAATCACAGGAATCCTACAAGAAATTAAAATACTCTTCAGCTTGGGATTAAGAGAAAGTATTCTCTGCATGTCTACTGAACTACCTACCTGCTTCCCAGACCCTCCTTCCATACTTTCCACTGATAGTCAAAGTGTGAACTGCAGTATGGGACCGATGCCCTTTATACTGGGATGGAATTGTAGCGCCCAGTAGCTGCATGCAACAATACAGTTCTGCTTCTTGTGTTTTGAAAATAGTTGAATAACCAATATGCGGATGTAGAGTTTGTAACCAAATATTTATATGGGCTATTTGTAAGATGCTGCATGCTGCAAGCATCTGCAGATAAGGAATAAAGATGTAATTTCTGCCTAATACTGTGATTCTTTGCTATTTAGTTTCTAAAATTCCTTAAGGGCTGGTTGTGGGGGTGCATGACTGTAATCTCAGTACTCAGGAGACTGATGCCCCCCCCCACCTGCCACATGCTTTAAAACAATAGAAATTTATTTTCTCCCTCACAGTTTTGGAGGAAATCAAGCAGTTAGCAGGGCCAAATCCTCCCTTTTCAGTTTCTTTTCTTTTTTTTGTCTTTTTCCTTTTTATCGGTACCAGGGGTCGAACTCATTGCAAGGCAGGCACTTATGCCGCTGAGCTAAATCCCCCACCCCAAATCCTCCGTTGTCTCTTCCCAGCAAGCCTTGGTATTCTTTGCTTGCAGTGCAGTCACTGTCGCTGTTTGGCCAGCCTTTACTTTGTTTCCCAGTGTTCTCTCTTTTTTTGTAATGACACCATTGCCTACCCTTATTTATTTTTTCCTCCGTTTTTTTTGTTTCTTTTTATCCTTGAATAAAATGGATTTGGAAAAAAAAAAGAGACTGATTTTGAGACCAGCCTAAGCTATATAGTGAGTTCAAGGCCACCCTGAACTACACAGGGAGATCCTGTCTCAAAAAAAAGTAAAAGTAAAATAAAATTACTTAGAGATCCATCCTAACATGACATAAAAAGCCAGAATTTAAGGAAGTTCAATTTTTTATTAGATTTCTAAAAGTTCTTTTGAATAATTATGTTTTCCATTGGTATCTTGGGGGTGAGGAATGCAGGAGAGAGGAAGCAGACAACCTTTATAAGTGTAGTTTTTTTTTTTTGTTTTTTTTTTTTTAGTAAAATTACTTAGAGATCAATCCTAATATGACGTAAAAAAGCCAGGATTTAAGGAAGTTCAATTTTTATTATTAGATTTTGAAGGTTTTTTTGAATAATTACGTGTTCTCCATTGGTAATTTGGGGGTGAGGAATGCAGAAGAGAGGAAGCAGACAACCTTTATGGTACTGGGAATTGAACTCAGGACCTTGGACTTGCCAGGTAGGTGCTGTGCCACTGAGCTATATCCCTGGCCCTGTCCTTTATTTTTAAAATTGTGCATTCGGGAATGTAACGTTATACATCCGAAGCCAAACAAACCGTGTTTCTTGTGGTTGCAGTTCTCAGCAATATACAGGGTGCACTGTAAAATAACATCTGACAAGGACTAAAAGAGAATCCTAAAAACAGGCTTTCAAAAGAGTTGAGAAAGAGGAAGATAGTCTGTGTGCTGATTTCTGCAAGAATGGCCTTAATTTATAACCCTGACAAGAAGTCTGTAGTGAGGGTGGGATAGTCTCAGGTTTATATAAACAGACTTCTGTAACACAGGTTTTTTTTTTTTTTTTTAGTATTGGGGATTGAATTTATGACCTCACATTTGATGGACGGGTAC